GGTGGGTCAGTGAACCTTTCTTGTGCCAAAAAATAAATAAAATTCTGCAACGGAAGAAGGCAGAAATATATTGAGAGAGAGAGGGTCTTGTATTGATTTGGAATGCACAAAAGTTCATTGCCCTGATGTGCTTTGCTGTGTTTTTTTTTTCTCATGGGGTTTTTCTGAAGAAGAGAAAATTCCAGGTTCTTCATCAAGAGTTTGATGACCTGGCGCAGATGTGATGCAAAAATGGCTTTTTTTGGCAGTGCAAAAAAAATCGAAATCAAGCTTTCCTCATTCCCTTCCTTATGATCCTATTCATTCTATGGATTCTCATCTCTAAGGATTCTCATCTCTAATATTTTTCCCAGTAACTCCTTAAAGTTACCAAAATACCTTTTAGAGAGACTAATAAATTTTTTGGCATTTAAAAATGAAATAAATGAACATTTTTCAAAAGTTGAACAGAGATTTTCGTTTTTTTTGGAAGATAAATAGTCCAGAAAAATGTTTTTTGGCCTCAACACTTCAATATACTCTTGAAACACATTTTTCTTCAGCTTATCTGCAAAAGCTCTGGAAATTGAGCTTTCTTATCAAAAGTGTTTTAAGGAAAAAAATGCATTCTCCAAAGTTGAAATTGTTAAAAAAAAAGTGAGGCATGTGGTTATTTTTGAGATTATCAACCAAAGCTTCTGTTCATTTCTGCTGGTAAGAAGACCACTCATCTGAAAAAATTTTGTTCATGCATTCTTGGAACATGAAATTTTTAAAATTTTAAGTCTCATTATATAAGTAAAAATAAAACTTAATTTTAGGCCTTTGGATTTTTGGGGCTGTTCTGATAAAATCTTAAACTACACAAATATTGTGCATATTTCTAAATAATCTGCTTGATTTCTGCTATCCACTGTGATCCTTCTGAATTGCATCAATATACAGTATTTGTTTCAAGGATGACTGAGTTTGCAATTTTAACATCCATTGATCTTTCTTTTGTGGAATACTATTGAAATCACTAAACACAAAGTGATTAAAACAATATAAAATGAAATACAGTGGCCCCCGCCTAACAGACCTCCCGTGTAAGGGATTTTCGCCAAACAGACCAGCTCTGCAAGCAGTTTTTCCTCCCACCCTACAAACAAAATCCGCCAAACAGACTTCTTTTGGTTTAAAATTAGTGTTGAAAATTAAAATTTTCAATTTTTTATGTAATTGAATTCGTGTAAATGACTTTTTGTCCAACAGACTTGTCCCTTGCAAGAATCAAGTCCGTTAGACGGGGGTTGACTGTATGCATAACTTCCTTCATAATGAATGGGAAAATGTGCTTTTTCTATAAATTCCCTTATAAAGTTTGTTCTTATAGAAGTGTGGGCTGTGCTTCAAAAATGTTTAATTATTCTATAGAATCCATACAGTCAATCCCTTCACAACAGCCTCCTGCACAACAGACTGCCTATGGGAGCAGTTTTCCCATGCAACAGAGTAAATCCACATAACAGACTTCCGTTGGTTTAAAATTGAGGGTAAAAAGTAAAAATTTAAAATTTTAATGATAGAATTCACACAAAAGACTAGTCTCTTGCACAAATTAAGTCTTTTGTGCAGGTTTTGACTGCACTGCATTTTCTTGTCAAATGACAAGAACAATTTTTCAGCACTTTCAATGTAAATATCTGAAAGAGTGATTATTAAACCTTTACAGAAGTGTCAATTGTCTTTTTTTTCAAAACATAATCTTATTGCTGAATTCAACAGCAAGCTTTATTTTTTACTATTCAGCATTCACAAGGTTAAGGCAACATTCCCACATCCAAACCCAGTCCCCTCTCCACCCACATTTATCCAAACACATTCCATCACATCAGAATGGAAAAACAGAGAAACAAGCTGTATATGGATATTAAAAGAAAATAAAATACATCTCAAAATTTACAATTGCCCACATGATGTAAATACAAAAACATTCTTCTCTTCCCTTCTCAGATGACCAAAACAAAATATCAGTAATAAAAATTGCAGCATAAGGCAATTATTGAACTAAAATTAAAGCACAAGGTGTTGAGCCTGTTGCCTGATAAGTTTTAGTTGATTAAAAAATTTGCAGAGAATCTTTGATGAGAAATCATGTAAGGTTAACAGTTTATCTTGGTCTTTCAAGATTTTGAAAAGAGTCTTTTCATTTAATTTCAAGAGTCCCAAATCTTTTTGAAGCTCATTTCTCTATAGCAGAGGAATTCTGGGAATAAGAAAAGAAGGAGCTATGGTAATGCACCTTTCATTTTAAATTTTATTACAAATGCAAAATAATTCATATGATTTTTTGTACATGCTTCCAGGAACAGAAAAAAGTGTAAAATGAGTCTTGGAGATTTTCCTGTTCCTTCTCTTGTTCTTTGGACACTCATTTTTTCTTTCAACCATTTATGACAATTTTGTCATTTTCATTTTTTTTTCCACAGGAAAAGTGCAATCGGTTGTCGAGAGAAAGAAATGACGAGTCCTGTTTCTCAAGGAAAAATGTGTCGAATCCGGTGACGCGTTCTGTTGGTTTATCAGCACTTCCTGTGCGTGTGTGTGTGTGTGTGTTTGTGACAAACAAGTTCTTTTTTTTCTTTGGACTTCTCAGTCACACAAACTTGAATAAATCTTACCGAAAAAAAAAATAGCGAAAAAGAAGACGAAGAGGATTTTGGTAGAAAAATATGCGACCACGCGACGACGTGGTCGTGGGACTTTTCTTCTTCCTCACGTCACTGTCGACAGTGTCGGCCTCGTCATCGGAATCAACTGGTAAAGTATCACTTCCTCAACAATTGTTTCGACCAAAACAAATTTTTTTTGGAGATTATTTCAAAAAATTAATCATCAGAAAAATATTTAAAGATTTTTATTTTGATTTTTAAAGTTTTCAGGCCTTGAAGATTTCTTGTTTTGTTGACAGATGCACTTCCCCAACAATTGTCTCTCTCAGAAGAAAACATTTTGAGATTATTTCAAAAAATTAATCATCAGAAAAATATTTAAAGATAATTTTTTTATTAAATTTTCAGGCTTTAAAGATTTCTTGTTTTGTCGACAGATGGCAGAACTCAACGTTTCTGAAGGAATACTTCATCATCCAAAAAACTAAAAAAATAAATAAATAAAATAAATATATTTAAATATTTTAAAACACATGAAGTTCTTACTTATCTGCTATTGCTTTTGGAAATCTCTATGCATTCACATGAGAGTTTGTGACATTTTAGAATTTTTGAATCTTGTTGCTTGGTGCTTTTTTTTAATAAATTAAAAATGCTCAAATATAAATAATTATTATATAATTATTATAATTTTTATTACAGTTTTTTTTTCATTTATTTCAATATATTTGTGGCGAATTCTTTTATAATCTTTGCAAATAGGCCATGAGAAACCTTGAGGAAAGACAGTTGGCCCCTTGAAAACTTGAAAATTTTATTGATTTTTGAAGGAAGTCCTTTTCCTTTCAATTTAGAAATTCTTGAGGTGAAATGTTTGAAGGAGAACTTTTTATGTGCAGGGTTATAAAATTTAACACAGCCTTAAAATACAACTGCAGTAACATTTCCAAAGTTCTTTTTTCAATCTCCCCATCATCTATGGAATGTGAAGGTAGAAATCCTAACCCCAGATTATGGCTTTTGAAAGTGACTCCAGTTGAAGTGAGTTTTGAAGAAAAATGCATTTGAAGTCTTTGATGTGAAAATAGCAGAAATGTATTGAACAACCCTACAACTGCTGAACTAAAACAGATTTTGCACAATATAAAAGTATATTCCTACTTTTTTCAGCATTTAAACATTTTCAAATGGATTTTGAAATTCAACAAGAATTTGAAAAAAATTGTGACAGTATTTGGGATTGAGTTTGTTTCTGCAGGAATTTACTAAAGAAAAATGAATTTGAAGTCTTGATTTGAGAATAGCAGAAATATATTGAGCAACCATACAACTGCAGAACAAAAACAGATTTTGCACAATATAAAGGTATATTCCTACTTTTTTCAAGATTTAAATATTTTCAAATTGATTTTTAAATTCAACAAGAATTTGAAAAAAAATTGTGACAGTATTTGGGATTGAGTTTGGTTTAGCAGGAATTCACTAAAACTCAGCAGGTAAACATTTAACAGCCACAATTTTCTCAATTTTATGAAAATAATTTACCCACTTCTCAATGAGAATTACCAAGGACACCACTTATCAGCAGAGGGAAATACAAAATTAGATGCACAGTGTTCATCATTTATGTATTTTGAAGTTAATTATTCTTGCTGATTTTGAAACAGAAAAGGTGATTGATTAGGTTTCAAATGGATGAGGTTCAGCAGGGATTTTTGGGGCACCTTTTATAACAGCTGACCAGCAAAATATTCTCTTTTACTGAATGTTTCCCCAATTCTGAATAAAGTTTTATTTCAAGATGAAAAATAATCTTGAACAGTTCTTCAGAAATTGTGCCACATGTGCAATGCAGACCAAATTGCTCACCAACAATTTTAAATTTCTATACTGTATACTTTTTGCATTTATTCTGTTGGAGACATTTTCTTGTTTTTTTCTCTCTGTTTCTATTGAGATGAGATTTGTTCGGAGAATAAGGAGGGAGAGAGAGAGAGATTTGGATCAGAAGGAGCATAAATCCCTGGCTCTGGGCAGTTGGCTTATCCATCACACAAATCTCTTCTTCTGTTGCAAGGAAAGCATGTGCACAAGCCAAAGCAAACAACTGGGTTACCTGTTTGTTTTCTGTTCCCCCCCCCTCAACATTGTACAGGGTGTCTCAAAAAATTAATTTTGCTTGGGACTGAATTTTTCATCCATTGTTCCTCAAAGTTATTTATTTTCTGAACAAACTTGTTTCTTAGAAAGCCATATGTTCTTTTTTCTCTTTTGGGAATTAAAACTCTGAAAATTTCAGGAAAAGTGTCAGGGATGCCTTTTGTCAGAATGAAGAAAACTTCAAGATATTTACAGTCATTCCAGTTTCTGATATAGAAAAGTTACAGTATTTGTAAAACATCTGCTGTATGAAAAGGTAACTATTAGATATAATTTAAAATTTTGAATGTGGACAATTGTTGACTAGAGTCAGGAAAATTTCCTCCTAAAAATATGACAAAGGCTTGAAACATTTTATACACTCCAGTCTGTTATATTTTAATGTTCAATAAAATCTAGGTGTGACAAAAACTGCAAAAATTAATTGCAATAAGCCCAGAAAACTTTTCTGAATTTTCTTTAAATTCAAAGTTTTTGTTTGAACACCCTGTTGAAAAAAACAGGATAGTATCATGGGATGAACTTTATCAAAAATGATGGAAATTTGAAATCCTGAAGATGTCCCTCATGATTCTCTTCTTTTCATTCATTTATTCTGTGAAGCTTCTTTTTTTTTGCCCCCAGGCCAACAAATCACTGTAGAACCTCAGAGACAAACAACCTGGTGAACTCAATTTCCATATTTCGTTGCTTGTCTCAAATTTTACTGCTTGGAGGATGCAAAACAATGCTGTGGGCAGCGGATAACATTCATCTCAGCTGAAATGACAGCTCAATTGTGTGTCAACCATTTTTTATTTATTTTTCCTGTCCCTTTGACAGCAACTTTCTTTTCTGGAAAAGATTGTCATGAGTGCCCAGTATTTGCATACAATTTAAATGGTAATAATTTTTGATCAAAAGATTCTTTTGAGGCTAAAAATTTGTTTTTTCCTCCAACTGAATAGTTTCACTGCAGGGAACCCCTGGAAAACCCATCATGAGGATGAGGTTTTCAATCATCACTAGGAAGCTTCCCTTAAAATCCATGACTCTGCATTAAATCATCAGGGAGCTGTTTGTTACACTTCAAGATCAGCATCTTGGGAAAGGAATATAGAAGGTTATTTACTGAGCTGGACTTTCTTTGTTGGCCTGAGTTCCTTTCATTTGAAATTCCAGAAACCTTAAGTGAAAGGAGTAAAGTACTGTACTTTTATTTACAGGGGTGGTAAAATTTAATGCAGCCTTTAAAAGAAACTCATTTGCCTGAAGTTGAAAGGATTCATTCTCTTTTTGCCCTCTCCATTCTCATTCCATTGACCCCAAGAGTGTCTTTTCATGAGACTGATTTGCATATCAGTGTATGGAATCAAGGTTTCATGCATGTCCAGTTGTTTATGAATTGGTTTTTCTCTCTCTCTTTTTTTTCTGTAGCCTCAAGAAGGAGGACATCAAGTCTGACATGTGAGGTGTGCATGGGGGACTGCAGCAGTAATAAGAGGGACAGCATGATTGAGGAATGTCCTCCTGCTTTCCCTGACAGCTGTGCAGCAGTTTACAACAGGAATGGTGAGTTGAGGCATTCATTACCTAAAAAACAAATCTTTAAATGGTGCCATGGATGCAAATAAGGCTTCCAATCTGGTTTTAAAAGTCTTTAATGATTCTCAAGGGGTTTTATCACAAGTTTTTACATACTCATACATATGCAGTTTTTCTTGGGGAATGGTGAGTTGAGGCATTCATTACCTAAAAAACACAATTTAAAGTGAGACCCCCCAGATGCGGACATGATTGGTGCATCAAGAGTGTCCCTATGTCGGATTTTTCCCAAGTCAAATCTTGTTTTCCCATAGACTTACATTGTATAATTTTTAATTGGTGTTTTATGGAAGAAACATTCTTCAGAATTTCATGAAAAAAAATTTTTGCCACTTGAATTTAATTCGATGAATATCTTTTCAAACCATTAAGAACGTTTGGAACATTGAATAGTGTACCTCTGTACAATAAATTGAAAAGTTGGCATCTGGAAAAATAACATCCATGTCACAAAGAGAGGTGGAAGGAAGTCCCTCTGTGCTATAGGGCATTTTTTTAAATTAGCTGAATGGAAGGGAAAATGATGGGAAAAGTACTAAAGAATTTTTCTTGCATAGATCTTAGGTTGAAAACATCTGTTTCTTGCAATTAAGCCTTATAAAAATCAATTTTCTTAAAATTTATTTTGGAATTTTATCCTGCAATGTCCCCAGGTCAAGTCAATGTCCTCATGTTGGGTCTTTTAAATGATTTTTTTCCTAAAAAATAAATGTCCCCAGGTCGAATCATTGCCATGTCAAAGCGTCCGCATGTGGGGGGTCTCACTGTACCTGTTGATTCCTGTCTGTGAAAAATACTGAAAAAAATGTATTCACATCACATACCTTCCAACAAACAGATGCATGGGGAAAGTCATAATCTGAGCAGTCATCACAGCAACAAGGCCTACGATAATCTCAGGTCTTCTTGGGTCATAGTTCTGCATAATATCTGAGGATACATCATCTCCAAATGTCATGTATCCGAAAATCCCAGCCATTCCAGTCACAGTGTAGATCACAGCCATTGTTATGAAAATCACTGACCGCCAAGTCTTCAAATTCCTTTCCTTCATACAGGAATACACTGGCACCGCAGAAGCATGAAACTGAAGCATGGTATGTGCAGTAAAACATACACATGTGACGCATAAAGGAATTCCAAATCATTGATTCAAAAATTACCATAAACCCAGTTGCAAGTGAGGGCAACAGGCTGATGACATCCATGGCACTTTTGGGGGCCCATTTGATGTTGGATGGTTTTGCGTCAACCGCAAAATACTCCCCAACCACCAAAATGCCAAAGTAAAAAACTGACAACGTCCCAAGCACGCTAAAAAATTCACAAAAATACATGAGCATTAAACTTACGTACCAAAACTAAAACTCAATTCAAAACAGAAGTTTTTCAAAAACTTTGACAGTATTTGAATGATATAAAAAAAATAGACACGGTCTCATATTATTCATGAAATTCAGTTCCTACAATTTTTAAGCCAATTTTCACAGGTGAAGATTAGTAAAATATATTCCGTACAAATAAATACTGTACAGTAAATATTTGATTATACCCTTATAAGAAGCACAATGCATTTGAAATATCTTAAAAAATGTCCACAAACTCTTCAACTGGTTCTTTTGGCAAGATTTGTATACTGTACAAGAAAGATCCCTTCCCATAATTGAAAAAGTTAAACTCTTTCCTTGCCAAATCAAGCAACATCAAGAAATTCCAAAGCAAAATATTTTTCAAATCAAATGCAGCCTTCCACACAGCAGCAAAAAAAAAAAAACAGTAAAAAGCTTTGCAGGTTGAAATATCAGTCAGCAGAGGATCTTGATGGAGCAAGGAAAACTTTGAATGCAT